CGCGTGGCGGTGCGTGGAGGGTGCAGCGAGGGTGAGGTTTTAGGCGTGAGGTCGCGATGGTGTACTGAGCATGGCGGTAGGTGTGGATTTGATATTTCACTACCGAAAGTGCTCAAACACTAAATGCTTCTACTGTTCACGGTGGATTTTCTCGCCGGAAATTACGAATACTATATCTAGGGACATGTGTCTCTGATACCATGTGAACAAGTATTGTTGTATTTCATATACTTGATATTAAAATGATATACAAGAAGCTATATTTATAGCTATATTTAGAGTACTAGGGTTTCCTATATAAGATATACAAATGGGCTAAGCCCAATACTACTAGGGTTTCCACAGCACCCAATACCACTCCCTCAACCATCACTCCCACTACAAATAATCCCATATCTACCTTGGATCACCATCATGATCCAAAAGCCTCTCCACCCAAACGTACCCACCCAATGACCCTTCGTCCTCGTAAACAAGCTAATATTGTCACTCACTCATCATTACCTCATCATATTATTCCTACTTGTGCTTCTCAAGCTTTACAGGTACCTGAATGGAGGAAGGCTATGTCTGTGGAATTTGACACCTTGGTTCAAGTGTTCAACCAGGGACATGGGAACTTGTACCCGCTCATCCTGGTCAGAACATTGTTGGCTGCAAATGGGTTTATACTGTGAAATATAAACCTGATGGTTCCTTGGATCGTTTCAAAGCTCGATTGGTGGTTAAGGGCTTTCATCAGCGCCCGAGGATTGATTACTCCGAGACCTTTAGCCCAGTCATCAAGCCAGTTACTATTCGGGTTGTTCTGACCATTGCCCTTTCTCATGGCTGGCACATAAACCAACTAGATGTCAACGATGCATTTCTACACGGGGCTTTTCAAGAGGAGGTTTACATGAAACAACTCCCCTGGTTTCAATGATGGCTCTGGAAGAGTGTCGTCTTAGGAAATCCATCTATGGTCTCAAACAAGCGCCTCGAGTGTGGTACCAATCTCTCAATGGATTTTTTTTATCCCTTGGTTTTCATCAATCAATTTCTGATGCTAGCCTCTTCATCTTTTCTTCTCATCCCTCTTATATTTATGTGTTGGTATATGTGGATGATATTATTGTCACGGGCTCTACACCAGATTTGATTCATCGGACTATTGACTTGTTAGCACAAAAAATCTCCATCAAGGATTTGGGATCATTACATTACTTTTTGGGCATACGGGTCACTCCTACATCAGATGGACTCTTTCTTGATCAACACAAGTACATTACAGATTTATTACAGGTGTTGCACATGCACGAGGCGAATCCAGTATCCACAGCCTTAGCTTCCTCAGCTTCATTGACTCTGTTTGATAGTTCGGGTTCTTGTGATGCCACCCTCTGTCGTCAAGTTATTGGATCACTTCAGTATTCAAGTCTCGCCCGACCTGACACTGCCTTTGCCAACAATAAGCTAGCCCAGTTTATGCACAAGTCCACAGTGAATCATTGGCAGCTCATGAAACGTCTCTTGCGGTATCTTCAAGGAACAACCTCTCATGGTTTATATCTCCGCCGGAGTTCTCAGCTTTCATTGTGTGCTTATGCTGATGCAGACTGGGCGGGAAATCCAGATAATTGATCCTCTACGAGTGCCTATGCCATTTTTCTCGGAGAATCACTTATTTAATGGAAGTCATCCAAGCAATGCACAATTGCCAAATCATCTACCGAAGCAAAGTATCGGGCCCTATCCACTGTTGCATCTGAAACTCTTTGGATTGAGTCACTTCTTCACGAGCTTCGACATTCCCCTTCTTCTTCCCCAGTTCTTCTATGTGATAATAAAGGCGCTACCACCTCTTCTGCCAATCCGGTATTCCATTCCTGAATGAAACATGTTGCCATAGATTTCCATTTTGTCCGTCAACGTGTGCAACATGGCCTTCTTTGAGTTCTTCATATCCCCTCTCATGATCAACTAGCTGACATTCTCACCAAGCCACTTTCGCGGCAGCGATTTGTTCTTCTACGTGACAAGCTCATGATTCTTAGCACTGATAGAATACCTGGTTTGCGGGGGCATATAGAAGAGTCTAGACAAAGAAAAGTCTAGACAACCGTTACAAAATTAATTAGAGTTTTCAGTTACAAAATATTTGTATTTAATATTATAATTAGTAACCTACCTTACTGATCCCTAGAATATTGTATAAATAGCAATTCATCTCATGGAATAAATCAAGTTCTTCAGTCTCAATTCTTTCTTATTCTAAAATCCTTTAGAGATGTGTGGAGAAGAGGCAGGGAAGAGAGGGAGAGGAAGACCCAAACAGACGTGGGTTAGGGGAGTTCGAAGTGATATGCTTCTTCTAGAGTTGGATGAGGGCATGACTTTGGAAAGAGCTAAGTGGAGGGCGGGTATTCATGTGGAGGAGTGATCTCGTATCATCTTTTCCCCTCATCTTTTTTTCCTTGTTTTTATCCTTATATATAAGCATTATTTGTATCCTTTTTATTTTATCATTTTTATGTATATTCATCTCTTTTTATATTATCTTTTTATAATAGCTTATCTTTTTTATCTTTATTTTCTTTCTTTTCCTTTTGGTGGTGATATCATGTATCGATTCATGTTAGCCGACCTCAATATCTTTTGGGACTAAGGCTTGGATGTTGTTGTTGTATGCTTCTTCTTCAGATGCATGAGAGTATGACTTAAGAGAGACCAAAATGGAGGACGCATATTCGTGTGGACAAGAGATCTCTTTTCTCTCTTTTCTCTCCCTTTTGTTCTTTATCTTTTATCTTCTTTATCTTTATATGTTCTTATGGAATTTTTATCTTTTATCTTTCTTATGTTCTTTTATCTTTTTATCTTTAATCTTTCTTACGTTCTCATGTTATTTAATCTTATATTTATCTTTATTTTAGCTATTATATCTTACTTTATCTTTTTATAATTCTTATTTTTCCTCTTTTTGGTTATGATGTCATGGATCGAATCATGTTAACCGACCCAAAATCTTTTGGAAATTAGGCTTTGATGTTGTTGTTGCACTAATACTCTTGCTCTAGGAATCCTAGGAATCCCTAGTTAGCTGCCCCTAGTAGTCTCCAAGCCGTTACTCAAACCAATAATCAATCACTTCAACACTTGGGTATTCAGATTTTTATTTGAAAAGGGCTCGAAAAAATGGGTTATTAGGCTCTGCATGTCACTGTCCCTCAATTATTTTGTTTTGTTGATGAGTACGCTTTACTAAGTGCTTTTGGTGAAAGATCGACGCAACATTTTGAGACATTGAAATCTGACCGTTTGAATTCCAAGTTGTAGTATATTTTGATTCATGTCTGAACACCATAATCGCCCTCTTAGAACTTCAAGGGAAGAATATTTATGAAAGAGGTTACACCATGAAAATACGGTACGTTTCCCTACCATCACATTCATCATCAATTCCACACAAACGACTTCACAACCCGCTTTACTACCCACAGAAGAAAACCCGCCTCCACATCTATCGTCGTCAAACCTTCCACATCCACTTCAAATAGTTTCCTTGCAACTGGAAAATCAACCACTGCCAACTCCCTTGCCTCCACCTTTGGTGGCAACTCCTCTTTCTGGACAGCGTTTTACACAAGATGGGCTACCGTTGCCATGTGCCAAGGTCACCTGACCACTTCTTTCTAAACCAGATGGTAAGCCATGCTACACCTATTACAATAACGGAGGAAGTGACAACAAAGCAAGCTGATGTACTACACTACTACCATCTGAGATTGTAAGCCCATTGAATAGTCCGCAAGAAGGAATATTTATTTATGCAACAACATTGCATTGGCAATTTCCCTGGGGCCTAGTGTTGGAACTTGGATTCTAATTTGTTGGGGAATAGTACCAAACCCACAAAGGAAGGATTTGATGACCTTTTCTTGCACCAACAAGGTATTTTTGAAGGACTTGTGCATATGGACCTATAACTCAATTTTCACACTCCATTCTCTAGTTTATTCAATCAAAAGGTCAACCTAATTGTAGATCCACATGGAAGTGTCTAGTCTCTATATGTAGTCTCATTGGTTACGCACAAGCTACATAAAATTGCATCTGCAACAATGTGATAAATGTATTTGGGAAGAATTAATTCTTGTATGTCTTGAAAAGGTCGGAAGTCGATTAATTATAGCTTAGGCTTATTTTTTATTCCTATTTTCATACTCTATTTCTTAAATCTGAAACGAGATACCAACCATGCCCATGACATAAAAGTTTTTTCATAAGAAAACTTCTCTGGGCAGTTATGTTCCTTTCCCTAGCATTTTACTATTCAAACATACCCTAAATATCCAAATGGTTTAGTATCAGAAGTGTTGGGCTTGGTAGCAACCCAAGAAGCGGAAGCAAAATGATCGGGCAAAACTTGTCATGAAGCAAGCCAAAACATAGAGCCTATTTGATGACCTTGTTTTCGGCTTATCGCAACTTTTTCACCAAACACGTAACTTTTAATTCTACACGATGAATTGTGTATTGTGTAATAATCTAAATAAGTAAGGTTAAAGTTACTTTTTGGTTGAATTGGCTGAAGTTTCTTCAGAGGACCAGCTTAGCTATTTTATTTTATTAATAATACTCCCTCCGTCCCGCTAAGATTTAACTTTTTGAGAAATCCCACTAAGATTGCCTCATACCAAATTTGGTTAAGTTTGTGTGGCTCTAAATCATTTTTACTTTATTGTTACTTTATCAATGCAATATCAACCACATAAATTCACTCTTCTTAATAACCGTGTCATCACTCTTAGCCAATTCAGTCACTTCGCCAAAACTTCAGCAATTTCAGTAGCAATTTCAGTATTACCAAACAGGCTCTTAATCATAATTGCAAATGGAGACTTGAATAGAGAAAGCTATGGGCTGAACCCATTAAGGGTCTATTTGAAACTAGTAGGGGCAACAATATGGATGAAATAAAAAACAGAAATGGGAAGGTAAAACAACTTGGGAATTACTTTTCATGGCATGATCTTTCAGTAGATTCTGCAAAATTGTTGAAGGCAGAAGCAACTCTCCTAAGAAATACATCATGACCACTAAGATAGTCACCGTCTTTCTGCAGAATCTCATAAAAATAAGAGAATATCAGATGAAATTAAGTGTAAATGTTCTACAAGCATAAAAATAACAATTTTTTAACACAAACAATGATCCATACCTGTAGCAGATAAACGGCAATTGGTAGTAATCTCTTCAGAATGTGCAATAGTCTACACCCCAACTATACCAATAGAAAAGGTATTCGTAAATTACCAAGTTCATGTTCAAAGGATGCTAGAACATAAGCATTTCTTTTCAAGTGAACTTCCATCATTAGGGCTCCGCTTGGAACATGGAATAGCTAGGGAAAGAAAATAGGGAAAAACCATAGAGGAAAATAGTAGGGAAAGAAAATATGGGGATAACAAATTTAGGCTAAAACTTAAAAAAATAGATATCCATTGTTATTCACTCGTGTGGTTATTTATTTATATTACATAGAGGCTAAAAATATATTTATTTTTTCCTTTGTATTTTCCTAGGTAAAAGCAAACATAAGGAAACAACTTTGCTTACCGTTGATTTTTACCTTTCCCTATCATTTTTAGGGATCCAAATATACCGTAAACCATAAAAAGGCAAAGAAATAATGTTGAAGCTGTCACCTGATGGAGAAAGGGTTCAAACGTATCACGGGCCTTTGCAACGGCGATAACACATGCAGTCCTAAATTCTCAAATGTTCATAAAAATATAAATTAATACACATATACATGATACATGTGTGTGTGCGCGTGTGTGCGTGTGTGCGTGCGTAGGTAGGTACGTGCGTAGGTACGTACGTACGTAGGTAGGTAGGTGTGTATGTATGCAGAGGCGGACCCACTAAGGGTCCCACGGGGTCCCGGGACCCCGTGCGCCTCGAAAAAAATACCTATATATATTATACATATATTATATAAAATTAATTATTCAATGTATATTTACACAAAAAACGACCTTAGAACCAAAAGAACGGAGCAGTGCAGCGATGACAGGTGCTTATTCCAAATATGAGGTTACGGGTTCGAAACCCGGCCTCTTCCTTTTATTCCTTTTTTCAGTGTTGGGCTTGAACAATGTATACGAATTTCCAACAAAAACTTCAACTTGGTTCATTTAACTCATTGGTTGAGTATTTCCTTCTTTGTCCAAATGACTAGAGCTTGAATCCCAGCTCCATCTTTCTTAATTTTTGCTACTTTTCTCCAATTTACTCTTTATTTTCTTTGAAGGAAATTTCACTTTTGTTATCCTTCAACTTGAACTTTTATTTTATTCATTTCTTCACGCTAAATGTATCCAAATAACATCAAATGTACTAGAAAATACAAAATACACGCATAGGACTGCACTAATACAAATTAACGACAAATAATAAAAATATGTACAAAAGTACAACTTTAATAACTAAAATTATCAACAAACTAAGCCTAAAAGTGTGTAAAATATAAGCACATCAGTCGCCCAGTTTTTTTTTCTCTGCTGCTTTTCTTTGCATATCTTTTTTTAATGTTATATTAATTTAATAAATTCATGTATTTATAAATGTTATTTTCAATTTTATACGATTTAGGATGAAAAGATATTTTGATGTTGTACCCAAATTTAAAGAAACCTAGAGTACCGGGAGTAGTTCATGTGTTAATTCAAATGATTCGCCATTAGTAAATGAAGAATTGGATCAATTTAATTATTAGTTTCATACTTGTATTAATTAGAGATTAGAGATATAAAAGGGTAGGGACCTTGTGGCTCCGACTTTCTGGGTCCGCCACTGCGCGCACGCGTGGGTGCGTGGGTGCGTGGTAGCGTGTGTGTTGATAAACAGAGTGCAACAGAATTTAAGAGAAATGATTGAAACTTTATTCATATTGTGTAGTCCACTTTACATTCTATTTATAGAAAAGGAATAGAAGCTGCTAGAATCTAACTATCATAAAGAGAATAACAGTAGTCGGTTCAGTTAGGTATAATTCTAACTAACTATATTCCTAATATTCCCCCCTCAAGCTCAGTGTGATTTCTTTGGAATTTCCATCACATTGAGTTTGCTTTTCAACTCAGTAAATGTGGAGGGTGAAAGTGGTTTAGTTAGCACATCACCAACTTGATAAGGACCAGGAATATGCTTCACTTGAAGTCTTTTATGAAGGATCTTTTCTCTGACAAAGTAAAGATCAAGCTCCATGTGTTTTATTCTTGAGTGGAAAACAGGATTGTGGGCTATATGCACAGCACTGAGATTGTCACAATAGATCTGAGGAATGAAGCTTGGAATTTGAATTTCCTGAAGAAGATATTGAATCCACATGATCTCTGCTGCAGTATCAGCTAAACTTCTGTACTCTGCTTCAGCTGAGGACCTGGCAACACACAGCTGTTTTCTTGACCACCAAGATATGAGATTAGGTCCTAGGAATACACAAGTACCAGATGTTGATCTTCTATCATTAGGATCTGAGGCCCAATCAGCATCACAAAAGGCTCTTAGCTGAATAGGTGATCTGGGAACTATGGGATGCAGTAGAAGACCATGTTTGAGTGTACCAGACAAGTATCTTAGAATACGTTTCACTACCTTCCAATGATCTTCTAATGGTGATTCCATGAACTGACAAACTTTGTTGACTGCATAACTGATTTCTGGTCTTGTTAGGGTGACATATTGTAAGGCTCCTACAATAGACTTGTAGAGAGTAGCATCTTTGACATAGTTTGGGCCTTCTTTTAAGAGTTTGCAGCTGCTAAGCATAGGTGTTGTGATGCCTTTAGAATCTGTCATTCCAGCTTTTTCCAATAGATCCCTGATATATTTGGTCTGAGAAAGATGTAGACAATTTATGAGTCTCTATTCCAAGAAAATAGTCAAGTTCACCCAAATGTTTTAGTGCAAAATTGGAGTCAAGTTTGTGAATGAGTTGTTGAATGGATGTAGTATTGTTTCCAAGTATCAGAATATCATCAACATAGATGAGCACAAAGATCTGAGTATTGTTAAAGATGTAGAACAGAAGTGAGGCATCACATTTTGACTGTTTGAAACCAAATGAATATAAAGCTGAGGTAAGTTTCAAAAACCAAGCTCTGGGGGCTTGTTTTAAACCATAGATAGCTTTATTTAGTTTACAAACTAGTGTTTTATCTGAGGATTGAAATCCTGGAGGTTGCACCATGTAAACTTCTTCTTGTAGATCACCATTTAGAAAGGCATTATGAACATCAAGTTGATGTATAGTCCATGAGTTGGAAATAGCAATGGATAGTAAAATTCTAATGGTTATGGGTTTAACCACTGGGAAAAGGTTTCACGGAAGTCAAAGCCAAATTGTTGATGAAATCCCTTTGCAACCAATCCGGCTTTATATTTATTAACACTTCCATCAGGATTTTCTTTTATTCTAAACACCCATTTGCACCCAATAGCATGTTTACCTGGTGGTAGAGTAGTGAGAGACCATGTGTGATTGTTCATTAAAGCATGATACTATGTTTGCATTGCATGAAACCATTCTGGTGAGGTAAGAGCCTGTCTAACTGATGTTGCTCATTATAAACAAGAAGCAATGTGGGATTAAGTCTAGGTTTTACTATTCCTGATTTGGCTCTATTGTTCATAGAATCATAGGATGAATGTTATAGGATGGAACTAAGGAGATAGGTGCAGTGATGGTAGGTGGAGTGTTAGAGCTAGGAGACTCGGAATTAGAGTGAGATGACTTAGAAGTAGAATTAATTGATTCAGAGACAGATTGAGATGACTGAGAGTGTGAGTTTGACTGAGATGTTGATTCAGACCCAGATTGATTGGAAGAAGGAGATTGAGTATAGCTAGTTAAGGGTTGATTATTATCATTGTTGTTGAGAGATACAGAGGGTGTTGTAGATTCAGAGTGTGATATAGGAGAAGATAGTAGGTTGTATAGAACAGTTAAGGGTGTATTTGAGATAGGATCAGATTGTACAGAATGAGTTGTTTCAGAAAATAAGGTAGCATAAGGGAATTTTGATTCATCAAAAACAACATCTTTAGATATATATATTCTGCCAGATGCTGCCAGACATTTATAAGAAAATACATTCTTCAGAGTGAAAGGCAAATTTATGCTTATTATATGGTCTTAGAAATGGATAACATGAGCATCCAAAAACTTTTAGAAAGATATAATCAGGGATGGATTTGTATAGCTTGGTGTAAGGAACTAAGTTCGATATAGAAGCTGATGGAGTTCTATTAATGAGATAGACTGTTGTAGCAAAAGCAGCATCCCAAAATTTGAAAGGGAGAGAGGAATGAGCTAAAAGAGTTGACCTTTTTTCAACAATAGACCTGTGTTTTCTTTCTTACTACACCATTTTGATGGTGAGTATGAGGACAAATGAGTCTATGTGTTATACCTTTTTCAGTAAGAAATGAAGTAAAGGGTCTGAATTCACCACCCCAGTCAGATTGAACAGATTTTATAGAATAAGAAAATTGAGTGTTGACACAGGTGTAGAAGTTTTTGAATGCAGATAGAGCTTCAGATTTTTTTTTTTTGAGAAAATAAATCCATGTATACCTTGTGTAAGCATCAATAAAGGATATATAGTAGGTGAATCCATCAGAAGAAGTTATTGGGGCCGGAGAAGAAGTTATTGGGGCCGGTCCCCACAGGTCAATGAAAACAAGTTCAAAGGGTGAGGAGAATATAGTAGTAGAAGTTTGAGATGGTAAACGATGTGCTTTACCAAGACAACATGCAGAGCAGGAATTTATTTCATTTTTGGAAGAACAAGGAACATTACAATGTTTGAGAATAGACTTTAAGGCCTCAAAATGAGGGTGACCAAGTCTAAGATGCCAAAGATTACAATGATTGCTATTGCTAGACAGACTATTAGCATATTTATTACAATAGACTTGATCACTAGTACAATCTGAAATGATACTTTTATTAACAGATTGACTACAACTGGAACTTGGAACTTGACTAAGATAACAAACTGAAACTTTTGAAGCTGGAGCAAGAGCAGGAAATGATTCAAATCTGTAGAGACCATCACTGCAAAGTATGCCATGCATTAAAACCTGTTTAGAATCCTGAGATTTGACAAAACACTCATAAGGATAGAATTCAAAGAAGACATGATTATCCTTAGCAAACTGACTGACACTTATCAAGTTTTTAGTAATAGTAGGGACATAGAGCATGTTTTTGAGAGTAAGAGAGTGTGAAGAGTTATAGGGTGATAGGAATGATGAAAAACCAGTAGACTTAATAGCCAAACCTTGTCCATTGCCCATAAAGAGCTTATCAGTAGTTATAGTAGATGCCTCATGATGTTGAATGTTGGCAGGATCAGGGGTGACATGATGTGTCGCACTTGAGTCAGGGAACCATGACTGAATTGAAGATGGAGGGTGATTGGGTGCAGGTCCCAGTACAGAGTTATTAGCAATTTAGCATAAGCCCAAGCTACAGATGGATGATAGCCTGAAGTGTTGAAATGAGCCTGCCAGTTGGATGATGATGTTTAAGAGGAGATGGGATTCTGAATATGATGATTGGAAGATGATGGATTATACTGCATCATAGGTGAGATAGGTAATGGTGCAAGCGGAGGTGGTCTAGGTGCAGGATACTGAGAATTAGGGGATTGTGCTGAATGAAAATTAGGGTTGAAAGGATGATAACACATGAGAGCATTGGGTCACCTCTTTGATTGAAATGGCGTTCTCTTCCTCTGAATTGATTTCCGCCTCGTTGATTATGTTCAAACTGAACAAATTGAACCGAATTTTCTTGAGAATTCTGTTGCTGATTAACTTGTTGCTGATTGTTGTGCTCTTGATTGTTGACAGAGAGATCTTCAAGGCGAGCCAGATTAGCTGAGAAGAGTGTTGACTGAGAAGTTTGTGACGCATCACGCAGTTTACGAAGTCGCAGCTCCTTCGCAAGGAGAAGTGATTCAACTTCAGAGTATTTAGCCGGGTCTAAAGTACTGCGAGCAGAGATCGATGACACAAGTGACTCAAATTCCTCATGTAATCCTTCAAGTATTACATTGATATGATCCTTTTCTGAAATTGGTTCGCCAATTGACATCAGATCATCAGTGATTGTCTGAATTTTGGACAAATACTCCGCTATGGATCAATCACCTTTGACTGTCGAATACAACTCAGATTTGAGTTGTCTCGCCTTAGCAATGATATTTGATTGGAAGAACTTGTGAAGTTCATCCCAAAGTTGATACGAACGAGAGCAGTGAATTACTGGAGCATGTAGACTTGCTGATAGAGACGACAGAAGCCACGAGAAGAGCATTTGATCCTGCCGCTCCCAAGTAACATAAGCCTCGTTGATCGTCTGAATTTCTTCTTCGTTTTCACCAGCAACGTATCGCGACGGTATCTCAGGATCAATAACATATTTTAGGAGTTTGTGAGCACGAAGAACTGATTCCACGTGATGTTTCCAGAACAGATAGTTGTTTGAATCAAGTTTCAGAGGTAACGGATGTGAAAAACTCACCGGAAATGGAGAATTTCCAGCGGCGGAAGTGACGGTAGTCGTCGAGGAAGAAACCATGATCGCAAAACTCAATGCTCCGATACCATATTGATAAACAGAGTGCAACAGAATTCAAGAGAAATGATTGAAACTTTATTCATATTGTGTAGTCCATTTTACATTCTATTTATAGAAAAGGAATAGAAGCTGCTAGAATCTAACTATCATAAAGAGACTAACAGTAGTCGGTTCAGTTAGGTATAATTCTAACTAACTACTCCCTCCGTCCCTAAATAAAAGTATTTGTTTCCTTTTCGGGCCGTCCCTAAATAAAAGTTCCCTTTCCCTTTTTGGCAAACAAAACAGTGCAAAACAGTGCAAAACAGTGCCAAACAGTGTCCAAACAGTGCCAAACAGTACCAACCAAACCCACTTTCTTAAGATGTGTGTAAAATGAATGGATACTTTTATATAGGGACGGAGGGAGTATATTCCTAATGTGCGTGCGTGTGTGGGTGCGCGGGTGCGCGCGGGGGGTGCGTGCGTGCAAGCGGGGGCGGGGGGCGCGGGGGCGGGCGTGTGTGTGTGTGTGTGTGTCTGCGTATGGATGTGTGTGTGTGTGTGCATGTATAAGGTCATATTCTGGTGAGAACACGTTTTCCATGAGAAGTGAGAATGATCCGAATTCTGAAACGATGCACATTTATCATAACGGTAATGCACAATTGAAATGCGCATAGAAGGTTGAATTTATTTATATAATACCATCGCATATTCTCATTCATGATAGTGCACACTTTTGTTTCACACATTGCACAATTCCTAAACATAACCCTCCATATTCATTCTCATTTCTCTCCTTAGATCGTGTTCTCATGTTATCCAAATTCTGTATGTATATACATATATACATGTGCATACACACACTGACACACGTATAACATGGTTATATGAAATGTAATAAGATCATATAAGGCAAGGCTGCAATTTGTGGGAACCTGGAATAGTTAGTTCCATCATGAATGTCTTCAACTCCACAAGCATTCACAATTTCTTCACGTGTTATAGGAGGGCACTTGACTCCTCCAACAACAAACCGGAACTCAGCCATTGCACGATGATATTGAGCGCCGCCATAAAGACGCATCACAGCATTCTACCAAAAGAAAGGCAAAATATTAAACATGAAGCCCTAGTTCCACCAATGGAACCAAATGAAGTATGCATTGTAGATTTGTAGTCTAGGTAAGCTATACTATGGTTTCAAATCTCAAAATAAATCACAAAGAAGAAAACAAGTGGACATCACCGAAATGGGAAATTATTAATACGATGATTTACCCTTACTTGTTAAGGTAAACTGATACTTGCATGCCTGTAATTTAAGTACATCTAGCGGTTTATCAACAGATTCAAGTTGTTCTAGAGAACTGATCCCCGTATTTTTATAACATTGAAAATAAAAAATGAAAATACAGCTACAGACAATGAAAGCTTACAGGTATTAACTTTTGTGGGAGCTGAAGACCATCAGATCCAACAAACGCTCCTCCATTGATCCTTTCATCTTGTAGAGATTCTCCTGCAATGCAAAGGCATGACTCCATGGAATACCCCAATACCTACTTTTCTGAGAGCCTGTTCACACTCTTACTTAAAAAATAGATATTTCCAGATTTCATATTTGCAAAAGAATTTGGACTTGAACATCAATTTCAAGATGAACTTTAACTAATGAGAACACTGACAATAGAGTAAATAAATATGAGACAGAACGAGTAACAGAATGCTGTTATTAGAGTTAAGTTAGCCTAAGGAAATTTTTGTATGAAGAGCACCAAGGCCTTCCAGTACTATCCCATTCAGTCAAAGTAATGATGAATCAGAGCTATCAAAAAGATGGATTACCAAATTTATCAGGTGGTGCAACAACTGTCCCTTTCAATAACAGTGATAACTGTGAAGTAAAGGTAATCTAAGTCAGAATATTAATAAGCTAGCAGAGATTTTAAAAGAGTAAATTCTTTAAATAAGACTAAACATAATCAAAGTGCACACTGCACATATAAGACGACCATTGTTTTCTTCCTAAAATATTTATTTACTCCTAATTGGGGAAGATGTATACTTTTAATCGGATCAAATAAGTCCTACTACGAGAATCAAACATTACTACTCCTATTTGTGCACTTTGTCTATGTTTTGCTCCTGTTTGTGCACTTTGTCTATGTTTTGCTCCTATTTGGAGCAATTTCTTTTTAAAATATTAAGATAATGCTAAATTTCCGATTCTCATACTCTTGATTTTAGTAATAAAAGCTTAGGGATTAGGTAATTCTATGTGCATGGCTTATGGCTATCAAGACATTCAAATTTTATAACAGAAGACATTCAGAAAGAAAAAACTTGATCTGATACAGTTATGCCAGAAATATTGTATGAGCAGGACTTCTGGATATAGGTGTCCTAGAGCTAGAGATAAAGGTTTTAACCTTGGTTAGAAAGAGATCATGAAAGACTCTGCCTTTCTCCTTGAGTTTCACTTCGTCCAACGAGCTGAAGTACATATTGAATGAATAAAGTTGGCGAGTGCACTAGAGTGCAAAGACAAACTCTAGATCACCTAAACAAGATGCAAACCTGAGTTCGTGATTAATTTCATTTAGCTTCCTCGTACTGCTTCGATACTCCTTTTCAAGGAGTGGAATGATAGATGGCACACTATCCATATACCTTACATAACAGCACATGTCTTAAATATCAGAACTAATTAAGCTAAGGGCCCATCTGGTATGAGTTATTTGGCATAAATGGCTGAATCGGACAGACTTTCTAAAAGGAAACATGTTTGTTAACATCCATTTCAGCTAAATAACTAACTAAATGAAAAATTACTTTTTAAGCTAAGGCCTGTTCTGACTTCTGATGATCATCAGAAATCAAGCATAGGCTAGAACTGGCTACCAAGTAGGGCCTGAGTCATCTGACAGCTGAGCCTGAAAGCAAACAAACTCCAAGTGGAAAGTAGGGAAACTCCTAACCTTTTAAGAAGCAATTCCTCCAAAAACAGCCTAAGACTGCTAACACCTATTCTGATTCTTTCCTGTCTTGAAAGAGCTCTGCCAAGCTTCTCCTCCAGAGCTGCAATATCTTCAATTTCCCTTGATGAAATAGCCTATCAATCAGTGTGGTTGGAATTTGGAACGGTTAGAGAACATACATGAAATACCAGAGACCTAATCAATAACATCAAATCTACGTCCAGCATGAAAACAGGTGTAATTTTATATGTAACGAATATTAATTCTCCATACATGAAAATTCAATTTTATGTCCCAACATGAACCACAGGACAAACAAAGTTAATCGTGTTTTCTTGTATTTCAGATTCTAGACATGACCATTGGATGTTAAGTCTTAATTCTTACACCTATGATAGCCCAAAAGTTGGACATAAATATGAAAGTTTTCATCAGTCAATTCATGTATTAACCTGTTTGAAGTCGTCGTTAGATCTGTAAACTGATTCAGGTCCAGAACCAACTCTACCGGAAGGCACAGATGTGAAAAATGGAGAACCGCCTAGCATGAAGCCATCAAGTGTAGAAGCGGGAGGAGAGAGAAAAACTTCCACATCTGAAGACCGTGCAAACTGAGGAATTTTCGTGTCAAGTTTGGTTGCAACAACAACTGTTCTTGACAGCTCAGGGTCAATCTGTATATGGTTCAAGAAAGAAAGAAATCTGCCTGAGCAACTTTCACCCTCATTGTAAGACAATTCCAAATTCAGAATTGGAGATTTTTGTCATTATACAAAACTATATTGATTTAGAGACTACAGCAGGAATAAGGAAGATAAAGTGTCAAAATTGTCAACAACATGGGCTTTTCCCACTTGCTTGAAAATATCATGAGATAACCATGAGTTCATATGGTGGTTATAGTCATTCTGGAAAACATCTGATAAATAAAAATCAATTGAAAAAGGAACGAACACCTGCATAACGACCCTTCGTGTAGTAGCATTGCTCCAATCGTTGCAATCTTCAAGGCATAATATGATAAATTCCTTATGCTGCATTTTAGCTCTCACCAGAGATTCCACTGCACGGGCTTGAGCCTACAAATGTGCAGTCTCAAACTTCATACCACAGGTATGTAGCATAATTCGAATACTAAAGTCAAGAGGCAAAAATTGTACCTGGAAAGCCCGGTTCTTTCTGCTTGGGGCAGGCGCAACAAGTCCAGGAGTGTCTATAATTGTTAGGTTTGGACAATATTTGTATTCTATTCTGATTATTATTTCCTTTGCAGAGAACTGGCATGGCTCCTTCTCCAACCTCATATTTTCAGCTTCTATAAACGCCTAAATTAAAACTCCAAAACAAAAAAAAAATCACAAGAAGCAGTCTACATACACTTCCATGCAACATCAGGTCACAATACTCTCATTACACATAAAAATGCTGACATTCGTAGAGGTTTAGAATGAGTACACCTAAATGTGTTGAGGCGGAGCGCACCTGAATTTGTTGTAGAGATCTTTCGTGGGAAACAGATGGGTCAGAATCGGACAAGAGATGGCAGAGAGGGGAGTCGCAGTCGGGGTTGTACTTCATGTGTAGAGTTATGGGTCTGCGAGTCTTGGTGCCGCCACCGACGTGGTTGAATTGGAAGCCCATTAAGGCTTCAACGAGGGCGCTCTTGCCGTCGGTCTGGTGGCCCACCACCAGCACCGCCGGCGCATCGAACGGCGTGTCGAACTCCTGTGCCAAGCCATGAAGCTCATTGTAGGCCTCGTAGAGCCGCCATTTCCCTTCCAACTCTTCCCTTTTCATCTTAGCTGAACCTTCTTCTCGACTTGGCTCCATTTTAGGACTGTGCGCACAGTTGTTAGGAAGGGGGCGTGGATGTGGCAGTAATGTTTTCAAATTTTGCTGTGGGCATGTAATGTTTTCAAATTTTGCAAAGATAACTCGGATAGATTTTAGAAAGAGTTTTTGACACTTTTAGTCCTTCGACTATTGTGTCAGTGACACTTTTGGTACTCGATTTTTAATTTTTCCATTTTTAGATCTCGACTATAGTGCGAGAGACACTTTTGGTATCCGACTTTCAAAATTTTCGTATTTAGTCCTTCGACTTTTGTAAAAGTGACACTTTTGATCTTTCAACTATTGCAATAGTGACATTTTTAGTCCTTCACTTATTGTGTCAAAATCATAGTAGAAGGACTAAAATTTTCAATTTGATAATACTCAAAGGACTAAATGTGGGAAAATTGAAAGTCGAGGACTAAAAGTGTCTCTCGCACAATAGTCGAGGACTAAAAATGGAAAAATTAAAAGTTGAGTACCAAAAGTGTCACTCACACAATAGTTGAGGGACCAAAAGTGGCAAAAACTCATTTTAGAAAAAAGAGAGAGTTGCGGGTGGACAGACAACTTGTCTGCTGGGGACAGACATGTATACACCAAGCAAAGTTTCCGGCATCAACAAATCAACAATGTCCTCTCATGTAGAAAAGTTTGGGCTAATTTGATTTTGGCTCCATTTTATTGTCCAAATTAGACTTTGCATTCAAATTTTTAAAAACTTTGTATTTGCGCCCTAATCTCGTATGAAAAGACAAAAATGTTCCTGGATCAAGAATATTTGAAGGCCAACATTTCGCACACATTTATATAGACAATGTGTATACGGGCAATTAGGGATTGTACACATTGTCGATGTGCATAGACAAATATGTACAATGTGTGGGAAATGTGTATAAATTTTGTGTACAAATAGCTTTTTTTCTTTCGGCTATCCCAAAATATGATTAGCTTTGTTTTTAGACACTCGTGTGGCTAAGGACGTTTTTACTTGGATCGTTTTTTGTCCCAGACCAGACAAGATCAAACCAGACCAGTTCAGACCTTACCAGACTAGACTTTGATAGTTATAAAAATACAAAGAGACCAGACATTACCAGACCAGACCAGTTCAAATCAGATCAAACCAGGCCAGCAAATTACAGTCCAAGTAAAAATATCCTAAAAATCGGGAAAAAAACTCTTCATATTAAAATGTTGAAGGACGGTGATGGAGTATATTCCCATATACCCTGGGAGTATCATAATCAACGGGAAAAGACTCCAAAGTTACATCAGTGACTGGTATGATGTTCCAGGCGAGGCCGACCTCGACGACCGAGGTCGGATCACAACATGAGACCGCAAATCAGCGAAGTATGGAACTTCAGTCGAGTCCGACCTCTATCCCCCGAGGTCAATGCGAACATCGAGCTCCCAGATCACCAAGATAAGGCTAAATATGAGGCCGATCTTCGTACACCGAGGTCGGTACTCAGACACGGATACAAGATCATCGGAAGTCAACGGGAACGAGGAAACAACCGCTATCGGGCCAAGTGAAGATCGGAAATGGATTCCTCATTGCAAAGCAACCCATACCTGAGTTCTAACTTCACGGAGCTCGAGGTCTCACCAACTAAATGTGCACTTAGGCTATGTTTGGCACAACGGACTCAAGCTTGAGGCTAATGTCTGAAATATGAGCTATTGTCTGAATCAAAGACTATTGTCTGGAACTGAACTTTGAAGTGGTGAATCTCAACCGCTAGTTGAATGGAGTAGACTCATTTGGCAAAAAGAGCTGAAAAAGTGAAGGAATAATGAGAAATTACATTATAGGACATAATATTTATTAATAGAATAAAATATATTTATTATAATGATTTTTATATTTTCGACCTTTGTTAAAACTTTAGTACTTATATTTATATATGTATAAACTATACTCCGTATTTATTATAAGGATTTTAATCGAACACCGTCACTAATCTACTGATCAAGTCAATGCGGAAGAAATCGAACACTAATCTACTGATCAAGTCAATATAAAAACACAAAAGCCCTAGCAATACATACACAAACAATTTATAAGCCAAAAGCTACCTTAAACAAAGAAAGCAGGTCAAGATGAATTCTAGGGAGAAACTGATCAACGAAGAAAGTGATGACCAGACAGAGTAAAGAAAGGTGAGAGTTTGGAGGATAATTTGGGAACCGAAGAAAACTTTATGACTGGCTGAATACAAACGCTACGGTGGATAACGTTGCTATTCAGCTCTATTTTTTCAGGTTCATCCCATTTAAGTTCATTTACCAAACAGGTCTACTCCTAAATAATTGACTAGAATTTTAATATTACAGTCTATTTTGAGCTTATTTGGCTTACCAAACATAGCCTTAGACATTTCAGCGACCAAAGTACTACGCAAGCTACAACCACGTCACCCGCACTATGTGGATGCCACGTCACTCCGGTAGTTGAAGCAAATAATATCCTGAGTGACACACGGATAATACGCACGCATGTTCTGTTACGCAAAGGACAAAATCAGTTATACACAACGACAATCAGCCAGTTGCCCCATCTATCTTCCAATCACTTTTACACGTGTCTTCTTCTTATTAGATTAGTACATTTTATTCTGTTAGATAGGTGGTACACGTGTCCTCACCACATTAGAATAGCATCTTTTATACTTGAGCACCAAGCATTATCTTTCTAGTATAAATATCATCTTCCAACCTGTGGTAAGGGATCCGAAATTCTCTGTGCAAACTTGTTGTTACTCTGCTCAATTTCGTACTCGATCTTGCTTAGTACTTTTCCATCTCTCATATTTCTCGGATTCCGACTACCCCCAGGGTCGGCGATCCATCAGACGGAAAACACCCTTATTAAAAAAAGGCGCATTCTGCACTACTTTCGTCTGAAAATACTGCACTTTATGAAAACGTTATTGTACGATATTTACTTCACTTTATGTCGACATCACTGCAAGACATTATGGAAATGTGATAAATTTATCGTTCTTTTTTTCCTTTTTAGATTTGATCACATAAATTTTTACGTCTAATTGAATATAATGCACCTTATGCACGTTTTGCTCGCATTATTGTTGTTGGACCCGTTTATAATGGGAACAGTCTAGAGGGGGGTGAATAGAGTTAAAAACTTTCATTAAAAATCTTGGTGGGCAACTTAGCATAGGAAAATAGTAAGAGTACGATACAATCAAGACAACATATAATAATAATAAGGTATCAGAGCACAAAATTTAAACACAAATACAGAAAACAGTAAAGAACAGATAATTGGTAGTGCCATGCAAAGTAGAGGCAGAGATGGTATCTTTTTATCAGAGAGTACAGATACAATAGATAAAAAGATTAAAATTCTTCTTCATCTACTTGTGGTCCTGCTTCATCAATCCTTTTGAGCTCTGCGTTGATTTTGGTTCTGATGGAGGCTAAGTTCCTCGGATTCTGGTACTCTGACCAGTGAGGCTCAAGCTTGCAGTCTAAGTAATTTCTTACTGCTTCAGAAATATTCTTCCCTGGAATGACCTTCATTTGCCACTAGACTTCAGCTTCTTGGATAGATCCACCATGATTTACTTGAACAAGTCCATCATTGTCCATGAAGAGATTCTCCTGCTGCAGTGGGGTCATCAGCTTCTTCATTTGCTCAAACTGAGCTCTGGCAGGTCTTGACAGTCCACTCTTCATCCAATCATTAAATGAGAAGTTGGATGACTTCTTCTTGGAGCTTCTAGGTGGTGGAGGTGGACGTCTGTGGGTTCCAGCAGCAAGTTTCTTCTTCTTGGATGCTTCAAAGTAAGGGGCAGGATCAACAGAGGCTGGATCTCTGATAGTCAGAGTTCTAGAACTTGGACCTTCAGCATTTCTGATGTCTTCTTCTCTGGTCTCTTCCCCCTTTTGCCATCAACAAGATTGCCAAGGAGGAGCTCTATCTTGGAAAACTCAGAGGCTTGAGCATCTTTGATTTCTTCAAGAGCTTCATGAAGGGTCTAAGTAATAGAGGTGAGTCCTCCAATCAGGCTATGTTGTTTTTCTATGGTGGATTGAATAGTTTGTGTGCTTGCCTCAAGGAGTACCAGCTTCTGGTATCTCTCCTTATCATTCTTCAGAAGAGTAGAGGCTTGCTCCTTGTGGGACTTGCAGAGTTCTTCAATATCTAGCAGTTGCTCTCTGCTCTTCTCATCAGTCCATTGGAGGGTTTCTATGTCCACAGAGATACTTTTGATTTTCTCATATTGTTTGTTGAGAGATTGGGAATGGAAGTAAAGTACATAGTTGATACTATCCACTTCCCTGGAGACCGCATCAATTTTGGCGTTTGATGAGTCCATGAAAGTACTCAGATTCTCTGTCAGAGTTGCAACTTTTTCTGAGATCTGTTGTAAGCCAAGTTCAAGGTTGATGTTGGTGTGGGTGAGATGCTCATAGTGCTTGTCGTTGATGAGGATAAGCTTATTCATGCCATCAAGCATCTGGCCACCAAATTCTTCTGCAGATTGAACAAACTGGTTGAAGGTTATTTGGGGTTCTTTAGCAGCAAACCCAGGCATCTCCAAACCTTTTCCCTTAGGTGGTGGAGGATTTCTGCGGTGGGTTGAGGAGAATGGTCTCTAGGGGTGTTCTCCTCCTCTTGGATGTAAGATCAGCAGTAGGTGAGGATGAGAGGAATCCATCATTATCAGCATCTGAGGAGAGAATCCGGATGGGAATCTCCTTCTTGGGTGTAGAGGCTTCAGAGTGTTGAGTGGACCTCTATGGGGTAGCAACTCTGGAGATTGATTTCTGTTGTGAAGGTGTGGAAACCTTGGATCTCTGATGAGGTGAGATCTGGTGAGAGAGTTTCTGTTGAGGGGAGCTCTGATGAGGGGTTTTTTTGTTGGGTGGATTTCTGAGGTTGAGGAGATGGTGGAGGTGAAGGTGATCGGTTTCTGGTAGGGGTTGATTGTTTGCAAGGTGATGGAGACTTGGATTTTTGTGGGATTGGACTTCTGATGGGTGAAGGAGTTTTCTGTTTAGGTGGGGAAGGGGATTTGGTTGGGGTTTTCTGCTGGGAAGGTGACTAGGGAG